GCTTGATGTCTATGCGTGTACATTGTTGTGTCATATAATGAGCCAGTTATGAGTATGCTGTTAGTCGATTGATATGGAGAGGATTTCGCAGATGACATTGATTTCGTCCTACACCGCCTGTAACTTTTGTGCGTGTCAGTGTAGGACTGCTCTCGCGCTGAGACACACTATCTGTAGAGACTCTACCCAGAGATAAGGTGACACCGATGTGGATAGTGACCAGATGGTCAGCTCTTCCTCTCTAGCGGTGTTATAATGTGCTGAGATACCAGAACCTGGAGCACATACTGTCTCTTAAATGAAGGCGACGGAATAGTATACATCTGAGCCGATGGCACACGGGCCTCGACCCCGCCTAGCAGCCACGCAGCGCGATTGAGACTGAAGCGGCGAACCTCGGAGTTAGCCCTGTGGCCTGCAGGGTTTGGCGATACAGAGCTGCCGGCCTCCGACCGCTCGGTAGTGAGAAGCCACCCTTGGGGACGCACGAAGGGGATAGAGTTAGCGATATGAGGGGAAGTACCCGAGATACTCATAATGACTGGGTCTCATAGATAAGGCATATAACCTCAGGTAACAGTGTTCGTGCGTGGAATGGAGTCGCGAATCAGCAACGTGTAAGATTATGAGCGTGCCCCAATATGTACGTGTGTGAACCTACTCCGCTCCCTCGTGTTGACAACACGAGGGGTCTGCTGATCGCAGTCATAATAGAACAGAGGGACCCCCTCAGGAACTCTGCGTGTGTACCTCTGGAGGTTTCGCTATGATATCTGCCCACCTGATACAAATCCGCGGTCCAGAGAACTATCTTGGCACTCAATACCAAAGGAAAAGTACAGCCGAGATCGATATATCGCGCTCCTCTGCTGGATCATAGAGCAAAGAAGGGTCTATGATGCTGTCTCGCTAAGGCCAGTTAGGCTATAACGCGTTGAGGATCGCACAGATGAGCTCTTGGGCCACTGACGCGTAGGCCTTGCGCGGTCTCGTGTCGATACCTCGTACATCTTCGAGATAACGGCGCAGGAACGGCGTTGACGGCAACGGCGGCTCTTGATAGCTTGCACATGTTGGCTGTATATCCCTGGGTTAGGGTTGGATATTACAAATTGCACATCCTACGAGGGTCAGGTAATTTCTAGACCAGGCACCGCCGGGTAGCCTGACGGCCTGCTGCTGGGAAAAGCAGCCGACGACTGCTCCCCGGGGACTTATTATGTAGAGACGCTACGGACTCTCCCAGCACCGTTGGAGGGAGGCTAAAAACTCCCTGAGCCTCGTTGAGGCACTCATGCGCGCACCGGTGCTTGTCCTAGATAAGCCAGAGGAGCCGGCACGAAGTCATGGGAAGAGCGTTCGTCAGATGCGATACATGGATCTCCTCACGTAGACCACCAAGGGCCGGAAAGTAAAGGGGTCATGCGAGGTCCGCGGCTGGGAGACACAGTCGTTCGTTCGGCCTTTTCCGATGGCACGCTCACGCTATCTGGAGCCGCTCGCTACTCTACCGGCCACTCCTCTGTGGGGTGGCTTGTCCACCCTAACCCAGGGATGAGCGCGGGGAGGTTCCGGACGGCGGGCCCCTAACCTTCGGGCGCGCTCGCCAGAGCCATGCTGCCGGTCGGACGGAGACAAGACGATAGACGGCCTTATTGTCATCACAGTAGCCACAGAGACTGTCCGTCCTCTTGTTGTCTCAGGCGCGCCATTGAGCCACTAGGACCCCGGCTCATTCAGAGTTTAGCCTGCTGGGGGTTAATCTTCTCGGACTAGGATAATCGTTTCTGCGTGAGCAAGAAGTCGAGCGAGATATTCCGATCACTAAGCGACTGGACCTCAGTTGTATGGATGACAATCAACATAACAGATTCCTGAGTAGAGGTGCCCATCGACCTTAATATCTTTAAATGGACTATCGGACCCAACCCGACAGACACCCCTCGATAGGTCTCGCAAGAGTCGTGTGGTCAAACCTCGTTTAGCAGCTTTCATCCATAGCCGAATGACTGAGCCGTTAGTTTAAGGAGTTGTCTCTCCCTTCTTTCCTCACGTGACCATGATATGAGACTGTTCATAACCGACTATACTACTAGAAAGTATCTCTGTAGTTTCTCTTGTCAAGGATCACGTCTGTTATGCTGTAATTGCATCCATTACTGTCTCTTCGCGGTCTCTCCCTCTTTCTTATAAGAGAGAATGGTCAGCGGTCTAGGCGAGCAGCTCATTCGCAACCTCTAGCCCATGCACAGGGATTGTAGAAGGAGGCGATCCTGCCTGAGTGTGTAGCTTTGGGTCAGACGAACTGCTGTTTTCTGTAGCGTATGGTCTCTCTTCCCCTACGTTCCCAAGTGTAGAGCGCCAATGGTATTTGGAGATTTTACTAACGGGGCGGCGCTTCCTTTATTGTGCAGACAGAATGGGTCAGCTAAAAAAAGTGAAGCACTACGCGCAAAGGGTGTTTTGAGCTTCATGACAAGTACAGATACACCGTGGAGAAGAGACTGTTACAGCTGTGTCGCCCTCTTGTTCCCTAGCGCGTGAGCAACCAATCTTTAAACCTTGGAGTTGGGTCCTAGATTTGGATGACAACGACCATCTCTGTTGAGTGTGTCCTTCTATTCTGACCACCCTCGCTCTACTTCCTTTTGTCTGGGGTATTGACAATGCTGCACTGTTTTGTCCCATACACTTTCGAGTTCCTCTGGCAGTCTATGTGTAACAGAAATGGACAAGTCCTGCCTGTATTGACTCGTAGTAGCTGCGCAATGTAGCCTGGTCAGCTGAGCTTTGGCCGGCCCTTTGTCGGATCTCTGGGTCTTGTGCTTCGAAACAGTGCATTACAGCTCGCATTGGACAACGTACATCCCAACGCTAGAATCTTATGGCACATGTGAAGGTGTGATGCTCAGCTGATCTCTATGTATCCTTGGTCACTCTCCGCTCACCGCTGTGTAAGGTCTAGAGGGGCCTATAGTGTGTCTGATGGCGTGCCCATGGGCGCCATCCCATCCCGCCGGTGTAATGATTGACTGTAGACACCGCTCAGATCCCTGGTCTAGATGTATCGATTCTGCCTGAGGTTCCTGGGTGCGCACATGGCGGCAGCCATGTATGAGTTCAGGTGTTCAGATACGGTACTGACTAGTTCGATAGACGGTGTGTGTGCGCGGTGGGCAATCACGAGGAGGATAGGTGCATACCTGATTTAGCAAGGTCACAGGCACTGGAGACCAATTTCAGGGTAGCAGCTTCGCGCCTGTCTGCTTGCTATTGTCAGCTCAGGCATCTTTATTGTGACTCCATAGACCATCTCAAACGCTGCAGGTGTAGCGATGCGGTGTGGCAGGCAGACTGGTTCCGTCTGTGGTCGCCTCCCAGGAGGTGATCCTCAACGTGAAGAGTTAGCACTGTGCTGCTGCCAGGCATTTTTACCCCAATGACGAACAGGCACGTGCTCGTTGTTCTGTACACACAGATGTCGTCTGAGACTCGACCATAGGGTTGGGCACCAGGTCCGCACAGCTGCTCGGTTTCACAGAGCCTCTTGTCTTGGACGTCTCCTCCGCTTGGCCAGCCTGCGAGCAGTGTTCTACCAGGAGAACCGAAATCAGGTGGCAGATTTATACCTCTCTCTCAGAAGCACAAACCCTTCCACCAGCAGGGAAGTGAAGCGGCTTCACCAGGAAGTAGGTTAGGAAGACAATCTGGAGCCTTTTTAGGCATAGGTCCGATACTACAGAGCTTTGACTCGGAAGATCGAGCACTGCCCCCTACTGGGGTTCTCCTGGATCAGAGGTGTCCAAGCACCCACATGGGGGCAGGACGCTCCTGGACTCACGTAACTGGCCAGACAGTCTCCTGTACGCTTCCCGCCGCTGCCGCTGTTGTTACAGATGCTTCAGAGGGTCCTTACTCACGGGCACAGGCTCCTTCTGGTCGCCCCCCGTTGGCCGGGGAGAGTTTGGTTCCCGCTGCTGCGCAGTCTCTGCTGCGTTCCACCATGGCGCCTCCCCGACAGGAAGGACCTTCTGTCACAGCTCAGGGGTCAGATCTGGCATCCCTCACCGCCTTCAGCTCTGGGCTTGGCATCTGCGGGGCCCAACCCACTGTTGAGCGTTTTTACGGCATCTGTCAGGGAAACTATCCTGAATGCCAGAGCACCATCCCTCCGAGCACAGTACGGTGCAAATGGAAGCTCTTTCTCCCTCAGGGAAGCGAGTTGGGGAGTTGCATGCCCTCTCCGTGAGCGATACATGCCTGAGGTGGAACTCCGATGGCTCGGGTGTTGCCCTCTGGCCGAATGTGGCGTTCCTGCCTAAGGTGCTTCCACTTGCCCACTCCAATCGGCCCATACAGCTGGCACGCTTTAACGTCCCACAGGAGAGCCGCACGCCCGAGTTGCTGTGCCCTGTGTGTGCCCTAAGAGCGCATGTCGATGCTACGGCCTATATACGGCTCTCAGAGCAGCTCTTTGTTTGCCATGGCGGCACTAGGAAGGGTTGTGCCCTCTCTAAGCAGCGGCTGTCCCACTGGGTTGTTGATACAATCGCACATGCCTATGGGGCCAGTGGCCGCCCCCTGCCATCAGGGGTGCGATGCCACTCTACAAGGAGCGTCTCAACGTCTTGGGCCGCCCTGAGAGGAGTGCACCTGGAGACCATCTGCGCCGCGGCGTCTTCGGGCACATTCTCCAGGTTCTACCGGGTCAATGTCACCACCCCCCATCCTTTGGGCGTGGTCCTGTTGCCAAGCTCCGCTGCTTCCAGCTAGGTGAGTATTTGGTTTCTTCATGACATGGTTGGTATAAGCCATCCAGTGCTAAAGCACAGCCTCTGGCGGTCAGTAGGGACGAAATGGAAAAATAGTTACGTCTGTAACTACGGTTCTATGAGTCCCGGATGACCGCCAGAGTTTCCTGTCACTCAGAATTATTGCGGTCATCCGGGACTCATAGAACCGTAGTTACAGACGTAACTATCGTTTTTCTGTGTCTCCTGCAGGTTTCCATGTTTACTGATTGCAGCTGGATCATGAAATGTTGATGCGCGTGTTGCCGCGGTAATGCTTGGCGCTTACGTTATTATTATTTGTGACACCTAAACGATGTTTGACATCCTCTTAGATTGATCTTTTTCATGTTCACATTAAAAATGTTGTCTTATATAAACGTTTAATTGATTATGGACAAAACAAATACATCTACAGATAACAAAAGGCGTTATAAACTATATTTTGATAGCTCTCTTTAAAATCCTTTGTAAAGCGTTAATACTTTAAGCTTTTGTTTAACTGAATCTGGATTATGTAGCCTACATAATCTGCAAATATTTTACACCAATTCAACAATCAAAAATCTGTTTCAAAAATGGAGATAAAGAAACCTAGTTACCCACCTCGGTATTTAAATATCTTCAAAGGAATCTAATCAGCAATATAGCCAACATGTTAAGTGCATTTTTCTCTCGGGGAGCAGCGGTGGGGGGATTTGGACTCAATACCTCAGTGTTTCTAATAACATATAACCCTCTTTCTTCTCAGTACCATGGGGCTTCCCTGGAACTTAATCGTATATTGTTGACCGTTTGACATCATTGACAGGAACATTCACTTCCCTGTCTCGCTCACAGCCTCGGATAATTGCATTGGTAATGGTAAGTGTGGCCTTTTGATTCATAAATCCAATGCTCTCCTCTTTGTGCTCCAGTGAGCAAGGTGCAAACATATCAATACAAACACAGAGGGGGGACATATTAGTGATTATTCATTCTTATATTGACTGTGCCTTCATCACCCAGGACTATTTCACATTTGTCAATAACAGCATGCAGCTCCAACGTGTGTAATTTTGACACGGGGGAGCTGACGTGTTTCTGACAGGTGTTTTAATGCAGAGGTATTTACAAGGCTCTCAATGGAAGGAGCTGAATCGATGGATGGCTGCATTCATTCACTCTCCTCACCGCCCCCGTTTCAACAAATTGGCCTGACCTATGGTTGCAGGCATCGTGAAGGAGCGTGGAGCAGGGAGGGTATAAATACTGGGAGAGGGGTCCCAGCCAGCAAGTATCCTGAACCTTTGACTGCCTCCTCCTCTCTGCTGGACACAAGGCTGCAAACACCTCTGACACCATGAAGGCAAGTACAATGCATGAAAGGCTTTGTTTTAATTTGGTGGTAAAATGATGTGCAATGGAGTGTAGTTGCATTACGGAATTTGAAAACTTTAATTGATTTATTAATACTGGCAATACTGAGAAGCCCATGAAATTCCGGGATTTTATGCATCATTCGACAGCTGGGAAGTGTTTTTTAACATTAGTATCTGAGAGATTTTGCTTGGTTACAAATAATGAATTAACACCATTTTTCTTTATCTTCCACAGGGTTTGAGGACCATCACTTTGACATATGTTGGCCTGCTCACCCTTATACTGCTGGCGTCGTTTATCTCACAGTCGTGGGGCGCACCAAAGGTAAACCTCATCATATCACGACTCCTGACTTTTCCCTGTGTTTTTTATATATCTGTTGTAATTTATTGTCTTTTATTGTGATTGTAGTAATGTGTTTTTATGTGATTGTAGTATTTATTACATGTACAGCCCTTTGGCCCGACCAAAAATCGCTTTTAAATGTGCATTATAAATAAACTTTGATTTGATATTTATACAACTTTTGACAGTAAGGATTTCACTCAATAATGGTAAAATGAGAGCTAAAAATCAATAAAACTAAAATAGTGTTATCTAACAGAAGGGTTGGGGTTATACACAGGCTTGGGGAGTAACTGATTACATGAAAAATTGTAATCCTTAATGGATTACAGTTACCCCAACTTCTCGCCACAACAATTATAGGTAGACGTACTGAATTAATGTTCTTTATAGTTTATATTTAGGCTACTTTAATTCTTCATATGTTAAATACATTTTTTTTTTATGCAGTAGGTGGACGCCTAATTTACTAAACAAAAATACAGTTTGCTTTTAATTAATGTATAAAGCTTAAACACCATTTGTAAACTATTACTGTTACTACATTTAGATTTTCCTTTTTTGAAGTTACATTGTTCCAATCACTTAAGTAAAAGCATGTCATTTTTATTTTATTTCCCTCTTGTTTTTAATTTGCATTGCATTTGATATTGAGGTTATCCAAAAGTAACGGAAAGCAATCAGGATACATTACTTTTCTATTTTGATACTCCGATTAGGTTGCTGATTGCATTTTCTTTCACATTTAACAGATTACATTTTTTAAGTAACCCTCCGAACCCTGGGTATAAAACAAAAGCATCAAATGAATTCAGCTTTAAGATGTGTTTCTTCATTAAAGGGCTCTTTCCAACGGAGAAACTGGAGCCCGCAGGCTATGCTGTACCTTAAGGGCACTCGTATGTATTCACCTACTGATCCTCTGTCCGTATGGAGACCCAAAGTGTTCAATGTTAGAAAAGAAATACGAGAATTTAATTCAACCAATCAAGGAATTCTATTTTGAAAGGATTTTTGTTTAATTCTGTTTTATTTAATAATTGCCAGTATTTCTATGTATCCATTAAACATGAAAAACAAGGCAGTCAGTCTATTTGACTTTGTGATGAAATAAGAAGAGCGATCATTGTGAAAAAACAATTCCATATAATGAGTTATACTGCAAAACATGTATGTTTATTCATCTTCTGAATCTTGTGTATCGAATATCTTGTGTATTTATTTGACAATTGTCTTGCTCTCTAGCTTTAGATAAGTTGCGTACCTGTTTCTACGTTACATTCCCGAGCGTTGGATACCTTTTAATCTATTTTTGTATTACCAGAGGGACGAAGATTCATCTCAGAGGATCGTAAAGAAGGAGATGTCTATGACACATTACACTTAGGTAGGACGAATGTTTTTAAGCAAAATTGTAGATTTTGTTGGAACATGCTTTTCCTTTATTTTATGGGAAATATAAGAACGTTTCCCCAAGAGCTTCCAAAAACGGTCTTAAAAGTGGAATCCCCCTTTGGCCCATTAAGCAGGTAGATAATCTTTGTTTGGTGTTTTTTCTCCCCGTCAGAGACCCGCAGTCAGAACACAGAGAATCTGAGCGTGGACCAGGCCGCCGCCGTCCTGCTCAACTTCCTGCAGCAGACCAGAGAGGGAGGTGAGAGCTAAATCTGTTCATCCAACACACAGCAGCTGGATCCATTTCTGCAGGTCGCACATGAAGGGCATAAGGTTTGGTTACAGAAGAGGAAGAATGAATTAATAAAGTCAATACATGTAAATATTGATCTACTGTAGCAATTAGCCCTTTATGATTAAAACTCTATATCCTACTTATATAACTTGAAGCTTTAGTTGGTTAGTAGTGCATATCATTTTTTCTTTTTGGGAGAAAAAGGCAACATTGATTCTGTTCTTCTTAAATTACCAGTTGAAAAAGCTTTTAGATACAGTTTAACAGGTTACACTCACACATGCATCCATTTCAAGGATCTTCCAAAACTTTCAAGGGTTTTATTGGTTAAAGATACAATGAACAGCATGATTGTCTAAATGAAGTCCACAAGGACTTTGAAAGGTTTTAGATTAAAGATTCTATATTCTTGCTCTGTCTAATACACAAAAAACATATATATTGTATATTGTCATTCCACAATTTAATGTTAATTTTCTCTTTTTATTACCCAGCTAAGGAGAATCCAAATGAGGTGTATTTCCAGGAGCTGCCGGTGTGGAAGAGAGAATACTTTTGATCGTCTTTCATACATTTCATTTCTTCAGTCCTGTGTAAAATTCCAGTTGTTTTGTATCTATAAATTATCTGACAATGTTTGAAATGTGATGTTTTAATAAAAGGAGTTTGAATCCATAGCACTATTGGTCTGATATTGTCAAAGTGTTTTAAACTTCCATGATAGAATATTCAAGGTATGTTTCAAAACCATTATGACACCCAAAATGTTAAAAACACAATTGTTGTGCAACGTCTCTGAAAACAATAGGTGGACATAATGGGAAGAAAGTAGAAAAAACAAACGTTACATTTATAAATACCTCCGGCTATACGGATACAATAAATGTTATGGTAATACAGTATATGAACCCAGCAGATCTAATCAGCCAACTTCACTGCTGGACTTTGTTGATTAACCAGCATCTTAGCAATGTAGCATACATACTCAAATATTACTTTTTCACTTATATTTGGCTAAAAGAGGACTAAAAAAATCAACACAGCCACTCAGGGTTGTAACTTGTAAAATGTATTTATTTGTTGTATTAATTTCCTGATCAAAGGTAGACAACATTTTGTTGTTTCTTTGTAACTCGACTGAGATAAAACAAGTACATTGAAAACACTTATGGGCCAAGACCGTAGCCTTGGGGAACACCACAATTAAACTCAGCTTCAAGACAGTAGTCTAGGTTATGTGATGGACCTGATCAGGTCTAGTTGTTCCAATATAGCAATATTGCAAGCATCCAATGTCACAACACTTTCAGGCCTTTCAATATTTTGTCCCTAATCTACATTTTCTGACTTTATTATTTTTAAAACTGTCAAACAATGGGTGACTTAGTGTAAACCTGTTTATAATCTTCAGCTTCTAATAGTCAATCTCAGTATCTTGACTCTCCAAGTTGCTTTTACTTGCCCTCCTGCACGTCCCCCAGCACAAAGGGAGCCTTGATGTTCAGTCGATCCCTCTCGGCCTCTTCATCTTCATCATAGGGCTCATAATCATCATCGTCGTCATCCTCCACATCGCTATGGTGGGGGGTGGAGTGGACGGAGGCAGAGGGAGAGGCGGGTACCGAGTAGGGCCGAGGGTAACGGAAACCTTCTGTCTGTAGACACAAAGGTATAACTTCACATTACTCTGCTACCGTAATATTGTCTGTAGGTAAAAAGCTGCAATGTGTTTCGAGAGTAAATTTCATTTTCATTAATCCGGCTATTCCTTTCTTTCTTCCTCCCCTTTTCCAGCCACCTGTCCGTTTTCTCATCTCCTTTTACTTGTCTTTTATTTGCACTAACATCCCTTCCTTCTTTATCCACTCTTCCCCTATTAAAGCCCAACTCATACCGTCCTGCCTTTGATTTCCCCCTATTCCCATTTTCTTAATTTCTTTCGGTCTTGTCCTTCAAATATCTATCAAGACTTAATATTTTGCATCAAATATCGGTGCCCAGCGATGTACGTCATCACACTCCACGATGATGTCCTGTCATTCATCCAAATGTTAGGCTGTCAATTAAATCAAAAAGTTTCCAATGTGTGTGTTGGGCAGTACAGGAGACTGATTCTCATTGCTTATCAAGTGTAATAAATAGAGCCAAATAAACAATTATGAATATTGTAATGTGAAATAATATCAATTGGTAGCTGCTGTTTGAAACGCCAAATAACCTACAACCATGAAAAGATTTTCACCCCTCCCAAATAGGAGGATGACACCCATTTTGCATCCCTTTGTGGACATTTGATTTACTTTTAAACATAATTTTATCTACCACTTCATATTTATTTTTCAAATGATGTGCAATGTCTTGTTTTAACATGCTGTCACAAAACAAAAGCATAATCTTAATTGGGATCAATAAAGTATATATTATCTCATGTTATACAAATTATTTAGATGGAGCGTTGATTGTATCCATTCTCTAGTTCTGTCACTCATTCTCCATAATTTTTTTAACACATTTCCTTACCTTCAAAGGGGCCATGGGGTCCATCTTGAACTTGTCGGGGAAAGCCCTGTTTAGTGCCAGATGGCGGGCGTGTACGTAGAACTGCAAAACACAAGTCAGCAGAGATCTACATCAAACAACTGTACACGTTTGACCAAACATCTTGGTTTTCTTTGTTTGTTTTTTTACATATTTTTTGTTGTACTAACACTAAAGATAACTCCACATTTACATCCAGTTGAAGAACATAATGGTGTTCGTTCCAATCAAGCTCAATTTCAAACAACCTAATCTGCTGTTTAAATAAATTACTTTTTTCTTTAGGCAGACAAACGGATTCAAAGACTGCTGTCAAACATCTATTTAGTGCCGATGCAGGGGAAACTGACCCGTCCCAGGTATCTCCAGTCCAGCAGGTCAGACAGCCTCTCTGTTCGGTTCCTCTGGATGATGCGCTGGCGCAGAGACTGCTGGCAGAAACTGAACATGAACTGGGTCAGCTGGTTACACGACTCCTCAGCTGAGCGGAAACGGCGGTCCACGATGTAAACACCTGACAGAGACAGAAGAGGGAGAATAGACCAGTGTCAATCTAAAAGTCCCTAAAAATGAAACAGCTCTTGGAGATTTGAGATTAATCCGTAATAATAATACAACGTGTGTGTGTGTGTGTGTGTGTGTGTGTGTGTGTGTGTGTGTGTGTGTGTGTGTGTGTGTGTGTGTGTGTGTGTATTTGTCCACACCGTAGGCAGCAGGGTCTGACACATGCTCCTCCATGAAGCAGCCGAAACCTGACAGGTTGGTGGTCACACTGGGAATGCCCATAACAGTACACTCACCTGGGGAAATACAGCACAGCTCACAAAAGGTACGGTATATTTGTAGTAATGTGAATTGGTATCAAGTTAGAAAACACCCAATCAAAAAGCCATTCAAACGCTCCTCGATTCGTGGCTGAAGGAGCGGATTGCAGATTATACACGATGTTTACGTGTAAGTCAGTTAACAATGGCTCATATGCCTTACCGGTTCCACAGAATTCACAAGGACTAATCTTTCATTGCCTCATGTAGAGATTTGTAACTGCAGTGCCTCTGAATTCCAGTAACATGAAACGTCTGTGTGTGTGGAATCTGTGGATGTATGTGCACATTGAAATGATAGGTTACCAGGTGTGTAACCCCATGGTTCATAGTAGGAGGGGAATACTCCAAGGTTGCATCCACGAACAAAGTCCTCGTAGTCCATCGGCAGCAGAGGACTGGTGGAGGACAGGAACTCAGGGTGGAAGATAATCTAGAAGATGGTGTAGAAACATGAGAAGTAAACATATTCTGTCACTACCAGGATATTATTTATCGATGTTTTGGTACCTTCCAGCACATTGTTGGATTCTAGTGGCTTTGGTTAATCCCTGATTTCTACTCTAAAGCCTCTAGGAGTGAGTTTTCACAAGATGTAATGCATACATTTTTGTACAGACATTGGTGGTTCCACGAAAACAACCCTTCTCCACGAAAAACACCTTGATAATGACAATCTTGTTTTATTTGTGAATTAACAACGGCCTATTGACTCTAAGAGCTGCTAGAATGGCTGCAAACGTTTAGCCTCTTAGATTCTAGAAGTCCTTCTTGATTCCGACCGACATTATGTCAGAATTGTACTTATATCACCAGGCAATTTGGAAAATTCCCACAGACTGACACCAGAAGACAAAGAGGAAGCCCACTTTAATAATCCGGATAGTAAAAGAAAAAAAAGAATTTGAAAAAAATTAACAAAAAGTCAACTTAATTATGAATTTCACCTGGATATTACGATATTAAACTTATTAATACATCCCCGGTATGGATAATATTCCATAATAAATATACAAAATTAAAAGTTTTATGGTTTGTCTAGTCGTAAGATAAGGTAAGGAGTAAAGCGAGTTAAATGTGGACGGAAAGTACGAGCCTAAGCACTCTTGTCGTGTTAGACACACGCGGGACTTATACATGATATTTCGCAGAGGTCGCGAAAGCTTGCCGTTCAGGCACGACAGGGAGGACTAACCACCTTTCAACCTGGGTTATAGGCAAATCGCGTGGCAGGATGCAGTCTTTTCAAGTTTAGACCTAGTCAGACATAGTCTAGACAACGTCGGGGAAAAATTCTCAAACCCATACCTCATTTTATCTCTCCAACCAAAAGACGTGAACACTCAAGGGACTTTTGCCCTGGTATTAGTACATTATTTCTTATGTTTCCCGTTAAAACGGTACTATCCAGGGGAATTTCAAAGTCATAGGTTGCAATTTTTGTATTGCCGCGTTAAAAAAGGAGTATATTTACTACAAAAGTTTCTTACCTATTAGCAAAGTTAATTAGCACTATAGTTAATAACTGGGTTTATTAGCTCTAATACTAAAAAATCGGTATTAGCCCGTCGGGATTGTATGTAATGATTTTTCCAAGGTAAAGGGGAAAGGTCCCTATCGTCGTGTGTGACCTTCCTCTTCAAACCATTGTGCGACATACTACGAGAGATATTCATACTGTGACATCCCGTGGTGTCAGGAAACAAAATGTGTACACATGTAGGTGTGAACAGTAGGGACTACTTACTGACCTCTTACACACAAGGTACAAACACACAATAACAAACGAGAAGGTACTCCGTCTAGGGACTGTACTTGAGGTAAGACACTAGCTCTGCTGAAGTGTTAATACTTCTTCTCGGTAGATGCGGTGAGTCCATTACCTGGGATATATAAAGAAGATAAGTTTTTATTTTTGTTTATGACCGTGAGAAAAATGCTCAGAACTTTTTATTTTTACTGGTTTGTGTGGACAGGTGAAAAACTTGTTTTTGAGGTAGTCTCTGGTGGTGGAGGGAGGCCATTGGTAGTGTTGTACTAACTGCGCGTTGTCTAGGAGTAAGAAAGCTTCAGTCTGCGTAGCCGGACATAGTTGAGTCCTTGCTAGCGC